CGTGGCAAGTAAAACCTATTCATAATGGCCGTTTTGTGCTGCGAACGGCGAGCAACAAATATCCCCTCATTTCATTATCAGATAATGGATCTAAAATGAATCTTTCATGGTTTGCTATAATTGAGCGGGTAAAAGGCTATTGGGTGCTATGAAACAGACTCTGATTAGATATTCTTATGTCTGCCAATCATGAGAGGCCCCCACGGGAGCCCGGGCGTCTTTCTCATGCTGATTTTTGTTCCACGAGCAGATATATTCGCGGCGTGAGGTAGGGGGGGGGCTGGGTGGGGAGGGGTGGGGTGTTTATTTCATTTGATGAATGAAGGAGCTCCTGAGACCACCCGACCGAGACCATGAGGCCACCTCACCCCCACGGGGCAGATGTCACTCCCTGCTCCAGCCTTGCCCCCCCCCCCCCCCCCCCCCCCCCCCCCCACCGTCTCCTGGCTCCTAAGGGGGGGGCGTGGCTTGTGCGAGAGGGCCGTGTGTGATGGAAGAAGTTTGCGTGAAATGCCGGGGCCATGCACAAGCAGACAATGGCTGGCCGCGTGCGCACAAGGACACACACACACACACACACACGGAACGCACAAAAAGCTGGGGCATGCCACACGGGGTCAAAACAACGGACACACACCACGCTGTCGGCAACAAAACAAAAAAAAAACAGGAGAGAGAAGGCCGCCGTTTATGTCCTCCTCCCCGAAGAGGCCGGGACATAACAAACTCTGCATTTTTGCATTTTGCATGGCACTTTGAATCCACTGAGGGGCACAGAATGACTCAGAATAGAAGGGTGAGGGGGGGGGGATGTAAACATTGTACAGAGAGGTCTATCCCTGCAGGTACCGACACACATCGGGGGAAGCTGGAGGCGCTCGAAAAGCTCCAACTGAATGAACAGACAAGCAGTAACACTTAGGAGACGTGGAGGCATTGCTGCTTTAACTGGCACGGGCTGTTTGGGTGAGATAGCAACGGGGGCCGGGACCGTCTGTTTTTTCTTTTTTTTTTCTTTTATCTGTTTGATATGCTGAGCTACAAGCCCACAGACAGCAGAGAGCAAGGGGGAAAAAAAAAGAGAAAAAAAAGAAACTCCACTCCGTTTCTAGAAGTTGGGCGGGAGCTTTCTCTCCTGGCAAAACGGGCCCTCGGAACAAATGTTTGCCCTGTTTTCTATCAGCGGTTTAGAGACGTGATGGCCTGAGCCGTGATCAGGCGAAATCAACTTTTCTGTCTGATGAGGGGAAGAAAAAAGACGAGAGGAGAGGGGGGGATAAGGAGTGCTTCTCAATGCTGTTTTCGGGTCAGTTTTTTATGATTATTTTTTTTACTTGTGATGCTATCTACTGGGCCTGGATTGCATGTAGCTGGGACTATACTGCATGCAGCTCAACCCAACACCCACCTACAAACCTCTCGTGCTCAATCCTCTCTGGAAGACGAGACAGCCACCCCTTTATCGAGCAGTCCGCACGTGTGTGTCCACCAAATCAATCAGTCCTAACTCTTCAATATTGGGCAGTTTGACCAATTGCTTCATAATCGTGGAGAGGAAATGCACACGCAGGGCCACGCCTGACTTTTGACCGAGGCTTTGGGAGATGCCCTTCTCCAGCCTGTCATAAAATCTTAGGAAATGGAAGCTGTCGAAGTTGGCTGAAGGAGCTTCCTTCAAGAAGATTTCCAAGAGAGGTTTGCAAGTAGCAGAGTGTTAAAAAGGAAACAAGAAGAAAAAAAAAGAAAAGAAGAGGAGATAATAGAAATAATAGAAATGATAACACCTACAGTCATGAAATGACGTTTTGGGACATCATAGATCCCTTCCTTCTGCTGACTGGTTGGGACCTGCATTAGATTGGATGTTGATTCAAATGTAAGTCACAGATAAACCTTGAATGTTTTCTTTACTGGCTGGATATTTGAAAAAAAGAAAAGAAGAAAGGAACTTACATAAACCGAAGCAGGTATCTTTAAAAAAAGTAAGAAAAAAGCTAACAAAATCAATTTCAATCTAGGTAAAAAAAAAAAAAAAAAAAAAACTTTAAATGTACATTTATCTTGTAGCACATTGGGATTATGCAAATTCTACAGCTGTGCCGCTGAATCAATCCTGTTTAAATCAATATCGATTGCAAACAAAGCTTGAAGAAAGCGCGTCGGGGTTCTGTTTGCGTCAAAAAACGTATTGTTATTCTACAGCAGTCTATGCTGTTTCACGGCATTATAAAATGCCTCGGCCCTGGCCTTTTTTTGTTGTTGTTGTTTTTTATTCCCTTCACAGCCATCCATCCATGCTATTTGTTGCTCTTAACCCCGCTGCTCACCTCCCCAACTGCTCCCCTCAACTGGTTAACTTTCAGTTACGTTCTTTCCCCAAGTCTATTGATCTTGTTTCGCTCCGAGATCAAATGGCATGGCAAGTGATTAATCTCTCTCTCTCCATCTCCCTCTCTGCATCTTTCATCTTCAGAGGAGGGCAAGATATAGCGAGGCAAAAAAAAAAAAAAAAAAAAAAGGGGGGGGGTGTTAGGATTAAAGCATACGATAGGTCCCTGGAGCTCTTGATGATCCTTCAAATGGTCTAAAGCCAAAAGGTCAGAGTGCTGAATGTATGTAGGAGCTTGGTTTACAGGCTGAAGGTGAATAACCCACCCTTAACAACTGACCTTGGCACTGCTGAGAGTGATTAAGATGCTATCTGACACCAGTTTAAGCGCTAAATCTTTCATTTAGGTCATTAAAAGTTCTGTTAAGTTTGGCATTTGGCAACCTAACTATTGTATTTCGCAAGCTCGGCCTGGATTAAACACAAAGAAAAACCAACGTGTGTAATTCGCCATCCTTGTGGCCTCATTTTTAGAAATCTTATCCAGGATTTAATCAGTTATATGCTCAAATGTATTGAGTTATACACCCCTGCTGTATCAAAAGAATTCAACAGCCAAAAGACTGGGGGGGCTTTTCCTGTGAGGCAGCGAGAGCAAATGTAAGATACATTTTACAAGAGTAAGCACTAAGCACATGCGGAGTTCTATCAAATTTTCATATTTTGAAAATGAATTATTTAACCTATTTCGGGCAATTAAAGGAGATTTAAAATCAGGAGATTAAAACCAGCTAATGCTTTTGCTGGCAGACTAGACGCCCCTCATCAGGTTGACCCGTTGGCGGTTAAATAAAGTTATAATCGGTCAAAATCAACGGACCTCATGGATTATTTAGTGATTTTAGGATTATTTTGAGCTACTCTTCAAAAACGACCTGGACATTGAAGTGCACAGCCATACTGTTAGTATTGATACTATCATCATATATTACAGGGTAGGAAGAGGAACAAAAAAAAAGAAGGGGGGGGGGGGGGGGGCAATGCTTGTCTTTGTACCTGATAAACGCTCTCCTCTGACTGGGGGCCACGGAGGGGTTCGTGTCCAGCCTCAAACACTATATACTACAGAACAGGAGTCGTGGGCAAGGCATAGAGGTTCAGAAAATAATGAGATGGAAGGACGGGGAGAGAGAAACAGAGAGAGGGCGGTGTATAAAACAGAGAGATAGAGGTGGTGAGACATGACGGGAATAAATGAAAGCACGGGGGAGTGAGTGTGGCGTCGAGTGGGAAGTGAAATGAGATCAGGAAAAAAATAAAGGAGGGTGTAAAAAAAAAAAATGGGGTCATGGGAAAGAGGAACGGGGAGATGAAAAGAGAAAGAAAAAGAGTGAGGTGGGAAGAGGAAAGAGCACAAGTATAACAGGTCAGGCAATAGTCAAGGCAATGTGGAGGTTTGAGCTAGAGGTTACCCTTCAATCTCTACATGCTACTCCACTTAAAGGTCAGAATTTGCTTGAGAACTCAGATATGCCATTATTTTTTTTGCTTTTAAGTCGATGTAAAAAAAGAATAATTTATGCGTCTAATATGAAACAGAATGAATGAGTTTGACATTTTGGGAGATGTTTTCGGCTGCTGGATAACAGGCTATGTTTGTCATACGCCGGTGGCTAAATAGTTGTCGGCTAAATAGTAGCCAAGAAAAGAAATAATTGCTCAGACCAAAAATCAATCAGGAGAATAACGTCAGAAAGGAAATATAAGCCGGCCAGCCAATCAAATTGCACTTGTGTTATCTCTATAAATTGTGACATGTAAGTGACGAAGTGACGAATTGTTCAATTTGTTTTCGACAAAAGAGTTTACTCGTTACTGGTCGATGGATGTGTGACCCTGAGCTAAGCTGGGCCTGTTCTTTCATATGGGCTGAGCCACGGTGTGCAGAGCTAAGCTAAACCTGGTTATCCTGGCTCGATCTGTAGGTGGAACACACGACAGACGGCGGCCGTGCCGATTTTTTTTTCCTCCTCGAACTCATCGAGAGCGAACCTACTTCCCAAAAAGTCAAATCCGTTCATTTCTATTTCTGGCCCCAGTCTGGAGTTTTGTCAACCAACATCAACATAAAATCGAAAGCTGCAGATGGAATGGCTTCATGTAAAACACACTTCGAGAGCGAAGAACAAGGTGGTCTGGGAGGCAGCTGGACGTAGCACTGAACATTGCATTCAGAGTAAGAGTTAGCGTTGTCTGTATTCAGTGTGAGCAACACAGAAAAATAATGTTCAGCCAAATAAATGCGGGGCAAAAAGGTGCGTGGGGGTGGATAACATCCAGTCAAATCGGAACAGACACAGACTCACTCAAATATATGGTTTTACAACACTGCACTAGCAAAATGGGGGTTGAATGGTTGAACAAAACTGCCCACTAGGATGGTCTACTTTGTATTACTGGAATGGTGCAATATTATGAATCATTAATTCAAGCGGATCAGTAGCTGGAAAGGAAACGTGAATTAAGAAGTAAATGTGTTCTTCCTCTTCGTTTCATATTCCTAACATTAACTGTGAAGAACCAGTGAGGCTAGCAAAGCATAAAACAATCAGTGGTGTTTTGTTCCTGTGCCACACGACCTACCTGGTAGACTGGGTCATCCACTTCATCCTCAAGGATAGTCTGTGTTTGTGGAACAGAGGGGAAGTTTTAAGTCTCATTAGAAAAGAAATGGTATGAGGTTGGAAGAACAAACGAAAAAAAATACGTCCACGTTTGCATTTAAGCACAAATAAGACTGACAGATTGCACATTCCCTTTTCAAGAACTGGCGATTTAACACATCATAGAGATAGCAACACATATTTGTGGCACATGTAGAGCCATATTGTGGGAAAAAAGAGTGTCTGAACGTCTTTAATTTGCTTTCTATGAAGACGTTCGGTATAGGAATCAACGGTGCGAACGCACATAAGATGTGAGGAATTTCAGAGGATGTTTGAAAATGTTAATACACAGACGTGTGAATGAATTGCAGGCCAAGTCGCAACGTGTGATCCCACCTCCGAATGAAAAACTGGGGGGGAGGCAAAGAAAAAAAAAAGAAAAAAATTGGCTCCCAGTCCTACCTGGTAGACTGCCTGCTCACACTGTTTGTCCTTTTGGGCCTTCTTCTCCATCTCCTCCCGCTGTTTAATGTCGTAGATTAGTGTGAAGAGGTCGCGCAAGTCAAGGATAAGAGGCTCTGCCTGGATGGGGGAATTGGAGAGGCAGGAGAGCAAAATAAGCTAGCAATTGAAAGAGGAAAGGGCTGAGCAGCGGACGGAAAGTGATGGAATGCGATTGGCTGGCTCCCCAGGTGAATCTCTAACATGAAAACCAGTTGGGTCCGGTTGCTTTCACCTAGACAACAGTTAAACTCCTGAGCACAGCGTACAGGAAATACATCGGACAAATAGTCTTAAAAAGGAGTTTTGTGAAAATCTGTGAGCTATTCTGTAAAAAAAATCACCAGAGCAATGCCGAGCAACTCGACTTCTGTGGGCTACAAAATACCTGCTATTTATCGTTATGGCTACGCATCGCATTGTGAGCATGCCTGTAGTGAACACACAGATCAGAAACGGAACAGTATTAATTCATCTGACATAGATGGGATTTGCTTCTGCATGTGCTTGTTCTTTTGGGATTGTATCTCTTATCGGAGCTCAGTATGGTATGTAGGTAAACAGGTGGCGGGTGGTAGCCGTAGGTAGATTGATTCTGCGTACGATCTTAATGACGTTCCGGAGCAGAAATTACCATAGCGCCAATCAAAACATGAAACCCCTTTTCCCTTTTGGCTTCAAGTGTTTGAAAGTATTCTGCACACTACAAAAGCACCTAAACTAAGAAAAATCCACAAGGTTGTATACATCTGTTTGTGGGGCAATCAGCTTTAAGGGTTTTTACATGAAAACATAAAGGAAATAGGAAATATGCTGGCTTTGGGTCAATAGAGAGCTTGAATGCTTGATTTGAAAACGAAAGAAGAAAAAGTCCCGCCATCCATGGAGTTAAAAAGTACTTACGGACTGTGAAGTCTTGATGGCCACAAACCTGTGGTGGCCCTCCTTCCCGCAGACATAGCCAAAAGCCCGATTGTCCCTGGTGTCCTTTGCAATGTAGCTGATCTCATGGACCGAGTGATGATGGAGAAGCACCTAGGTGGGGGGAAAAGTGGGGGCTCGAATCAGTGACAGCCCGGGGAGATGACTTGGATCCACTGGATGTCTTCCTCCTCTTCAGGGGTGCAAAACGCAAACTTTGATCTGGTTTGATCTGTGCGATCTTAACAGAAGACGGCGCTGTGAACCGTTTTAAGTAGGTCAGAGCAGCTTGAAACAATCTTTGCATATTGTCGAGCCAACTGGGCGAGCCCGAAAAAAGAGAAGATCCAAGGCTGCTCAATTAGCGATTACACCATGTCACTGATGCTATAGCCGCTCCAGAATCACAGAGGCTGCCACTTAGGTTAGAATCCGGCCGCCTGACGTCTGTTTCGCCACGGAATATGAAGGAGAACAACTGAGCGGCTGCGCCAGATATGCTCCTGCTTCCCCGATGTATTTCACCTCATGTTCAAAGTGTCGTTGACAGGAAATACATCCCTTCTTACGAAAGAGAAGAATCCAGTTGTCGTTGAGGCACACCCACCTGCTGCTCTTCTATTAGCGGAGATAAGCCTAAGCACCGGGGAGGAGCTTTCATTTGAATTTTTGCTGATTTTTTAGCGGGGACTGTCGCTGGTAATGCCTCAGATTAATGTAAAATACAAAACTAATGCGACCAGTCTACCGGATTCGGCGGCAAATCATGTCAGCTTTTCGTAAAGTATTACCGTCTAAATGCTCGCTGACACAGCCTGAGCTGGAGTGTTCCGCCGAAATAACTCAAGAGGGATATTAAGTGCGGGGTGTTATTTACAGCGCGTAATCAGTAAATAAAAACGAGGAGCATTAGGGCGCATGATTTCTGAAACGACAAATGAGCTTGTCAAAAGCCTTTGAGCTGGTAGGTCATGGCAGGAGGCTTAAGTGTTTCCTGCATTGCAGGGGGAGAGACGCACGGACCATCACAACAGTGGGGCTGGAAAGACATATTATCACAGGTGGGTGTAATTCTTTTTGGAACAGTAGGGGTCGGGGTGGGGGTGGGGGGTGTCGGGAAATAGACTGCCGATGGTTGGACGGGAGCTGGCAGCTGTGGGACAAACGCCGTTGCATAATTACGGCTTTGGCTCCTAACGACGGCTGAGGTGGAGCCGCGGTGTAATTAGCATTAGCGGCAATGATCATTAAGGGGTGGAACTGAGAACTAATTAGCGGTTAGCGCCGATGAGCAGAGCGGGGCCTGTCTGGTCGACGCTTCGCCGCAGGACCCTGGGAGAACCGGGCCCCCTCGATCACACTTTAATAGAAACAGAAAACCCCCGAGCCTGCCAGAGGGGGTACAGGGTGGAGGCAGAAGCTGCCTCGTCTCTCATAACATCCCCATTACGCAGCTCACATTTGGACAGCCGGACCTGATTGATCTTAAGTAGGTCCTGCGGCATAACCCATTCAAACTAGGATGTGGAAAGTTAAGGAACTTCACTGACGGTCAAAATATCAAACGCGAGACCGGTAATGCGATGATGTCAAGAGTTTAACTTTTTTATGAGCCAACAACCAAACTGCTGTTAGAATTGGGCTATAATTACTCACTTTAGCATAGTATATTATAACTGAATCCATGTAAATGACTGATTTTCTTATTCCTTTTTAAATTTATGTTATCCCCTTTATAATATAACTTTTGGGTTAAACTCTCTGGCTTTGCCTACTCATCCTCCTCCCCTCTTGGCTACAGTAGATACACGTCTTCAAGGTCAACATTCACACACACACTTTCTTATCACATTCCAACAAAATCTGCATGAATTAGTAGCCTCTGGCCTGTTCATGTCAGAGGTAACTGGCCAAGAACACTCCTTTGCGTCCAGCTGTCCTCCTGTTCTAGGCCCGGCCCAGAAGATAACTGTCCATCGCACCCGGAAATCGAGGCTCTTGCCAATTGAGATCCTCTGGGAACTTGGTCTGTGAGAGCCCAATGCTGATTTACTTTGCTTGTGACCAATGAATGTCACATTTGTACCCTTGATCTACTCTGGTTCATTCTCAGGCTTCCAACTAAAGAATCGGGCTAACAGCGCTCAGCAGAGAATACGTAATGGCTTGACTCCAATTAATGTTACAGGAAAATCCAACTGGAAGCCCTGATGGGAACGTCTTGGCGTCGCAGCTGCGCCACTAGGGGAACGGCGGCGGTCAGGCGGCTAAGGCGGGCGGTCCCGGCAGCTGCTGTGAAGCGAGCCGTGCGAGCCCGCGCCCCCCGGACGTCCTGCACGGTTTGTCCCCAGCTGGCGGGCGCCCCGCTCGCTTGACATGGTACTCACCCCCGATCGTTCACAGTAGATCTTGATTCCTCCGAAAGACACCGTCAAGAAGACCCTCTGCTTGTGCTCCCCTTTGGAACGGGCCGAGGAAGCCATTCCCTGGAGGACATAAAAGCGTCAGATACCGTTAGGCTTGTCCTTCTCTGGCTGAGGTGGTTTACATTCAAGACGTTTAGAGTTCAGGGCAGCAATTGTGGGGGAAGATTGAGCGTAGAGGCACAAGAATTACATAAACCGTCAAGGGGCAGACTGTCATCTCGGCAGTTTTTGCCAAACATCTTTTTTTTTCTTCTCTTGAAGCAGATCTGCTGCACTTCAAGGTGACATAGCACAAGTGTAGGCTAACTTACAATGAGGTTAGACTTGCTGACTGACTAGATTACGCTGCTGACTGACCAGCCTTCTCCCACATACTGCTGACTGAACAACCGTTGGAGCCTTTGAAGTATTTCTTTCCCATGGTTCTCTCGGCAGCTCCTTTTTCTCATTTCTCTCGGCTCAGATAAAGAAAACAATTAAAATTTCCACCGTGTTCCATTTGACGCGACCTGTGTGCGCTTGACACGTCTTTCACGGAACGACGCCTGGGAAGAAAAAAAAACGGAGAAAAAGAGAAGAAGAGAGAGGAGAGGAAAAGACGAGGGAAGATAAGAGAAGAAAGTCTTGACTTCTTTGCTGAGTTTGCCCGCAAAACTGCAGGCTGGTCTCCGATAACAGGTGGTCGACCCGCTCCGTGCACCAGCCCTTTAGAATTTCCTCCTTTCAAGCTTTTCTGCGATTTCAAACGGGGCCGTTGGGGATTGTATTACATACCGTGAAGCCAAGGCTTTTAAAAAAAAAAGACACTTTACATACATAGGTACGGAACTATGATTCATGAGGGAAACGGGGAGGCTGAAAGGATAAGAACTCCAGGGGAAACATACAAAAAAAAGAAAAAAGCAGAACAAGCAGCAGGGATAAGAAAGAGATGAGGAAAGTGGGAAAAGGGCGGGTGGGCAGGGGGGGTCGATGGATACTGTCAATCAGCCATTGGCTTCTCCATTTGGTGGATTAGTCCCGATGGCAGAGAGGATCTCTGGGGAACTCAATAGAGAGCCATCCCTTTCTCTATCCACTGTCCAGATAATGGCTGGTCCGTATTGACCGCTCCATTGACTGCAACTGGCTGGTGCCTTGTGACGACCGGGAACCGGACGGTGGGCACTGGCGAGGTGTTCCATCAAGGCGGGCCAAAAGCACTTTTATAGGCCGCCTCGCCGGGAACGGACAGGCGTGTTGATAAGGTTTGCCTCACGGCTATTCCGCTTCTCCAGCGGGACTTCCCACACATTTTTAATCTCCGGGAGCGTCCGTGGGAAGGTATTTAAGAAGCCATGCATATGCGTCTTCTTTTTGGAGTGGGATTTATCCACCTTACACCTACGGAGACGCTCACGGGCGGCGTTTCCTGTTTTTTTTTGTGCAGAATGGCGATGCTGCAGGCTCCCCGGCGGCGTGACGGTGGCACGGCTCTACTTTTTGGCATTCCACCCCCCCGCCTTGCACCCTGGCCATGGCAAAGCTCGATGAAAAAGGTGAACGCGCACTTCACCTTTCTCGACTACCCCACCCTTTCATCCACGGCTGCCTGTTTTTCCAAACTATTTTTTTTCCTTCCCCAAACCCTTGCTTTTACTGTGGGGCAGAATTTGACCTAATTCACTTGGAAAAATCTTTTGAAGAAGAGCGGCTGTCATTTCTTTCTGGGTCGCGTTATCGCGCTTCGCACACGTGCCACAAGGGTAACATCAGGAACTTTCTCGCAAAAAATAGCAGGCCGTGAGTGACACGGGAAAACAGGGAACACTAATTGAGGATACGTTGACGGGGAAGTGGGGCAGATTTTCGACTTAAGCGGTACAAAGCTTTGTCTCTGGAACGGGGGGGAGCCAGTTTGCCTCAGAGGTGAACGATCTGTATGAATAAATCCGAGGAGCTAAATATAAAGCCACCAGTCAGGGAGAATTCACAAACGATGAGGTGCTACCGGTTGCAACAACCTCCAAAACCAACATGACGGTGGATTTCTTTCTTTCTTTTTTACATTTGTTCCATTTGGTCAGTTCCGACACAGCCTCGGTGAGTCACACACAGGAGGGGACAGCTCCCATGACTCACTCCAGAGACAATACAGTCATGCCCGAGCATGCCGTTTCCGAATCAGACTGAGCTGATGGGAGGGAGCTGGATGATATCCCCACAGACAGACACACACACACACACACACACACACACATAAAAGAAGAAGAGGTGTGCACCTTGAGCTTCATCATGGAGTCCTGGCACAGCTTGTCCCCGCGTGCGGCTGTCACCTCATCAATCCCGATCAGCTTGGCCTTGTAGCGGACGCCATCTCCGCGGAAACGCTTAATAAGCCCCGCCTCCGTGCGGTCCTGACCTGCTTCGAAAGAGCCAAAAGCAAAAACGAAAAAAAAAAAAGACAGGGTGTTAGAAACGGGAAAAACAGAGCGGCTGCAGGTGGCGTGCCGGTCCACCTTTGCGTGTCACAACTTTAGCGTCGAGCTATCGAGGCGTCGGCGTGAGGTGAGTGTCCGCGTGAATATTTATGGACAGAGGAATACCGACTGAATGGGAAATCAGCAGACGGGCCCAAAGAAAATTGCACTCCAAATTGGAAATGAACTTGGGGGAAAAGCCGGTTGGACTAAATAAGGAAACAACTGGAACATTGACAGCGCTGTCGTCCCTATTGTAACGCGGCGGGGGCCATTCAGAGACAAAGCGGGGATTGAGGGTTTCGGGGTGGCTGAACAGGGGGTGATTACTCCCCTGTTGCACCCATGCCTGTTAGTTCCCATGGGTGCTATTGGTGGTGTCAAAGCGGCTTGAATGGCCACTATTGAGAGGAATCCTCTCGGTCCAGCGCTCACCCACAATCCACCAGAGCACCCCCCCCCCCTTCGTGATGGATCTTGGATGGTGGCAGGAAGGTGGTGGGAGGATGGTGGAAAGGGAGGGGCTGTCACAAGTGTGTTTTTGGATGGCCTGGGGCCTTTCTGCTGTCATCCTCTCCCCTCTCTCTTTCTCCCCTCTCCCTCCCCCGTTCCCCGTTTTGTCTCCCCAGCCGCCCTGACATCTCCTTGACACCGACACCTCTCTCGTCTCGTCTCGACGCCGTTCTGCGACCGCGTGGACGCCGACCCCGAGCCGCGGCGCCATTCGTCTTAAAAATGCCCTCGGAACCCGTTTTTCAAGCTCTGTCTGTCAGAGAAAAAAAAAAAAACAGGCTCCCACGACGTTTCCACCAATCAAGGTTGCCGGCACCTTGGAGAATTTTTTAACAGTTTTCCACCAAGCCCCCTTCCTGACTGAAATCTAGGTCACGAGACCAGCCGGCGCATCGGCCAGTAACACACTTAGGAGGCTGCACAGCCAGACGACAAGGTGTAGCAGCCCCAGCAGAGACTGTCAGGCTGTATCCCAAGACCACATCACACCCTAATGAGCTTATTCCACACAGAAACGTGTGGTAAGGGCGCGCTCCATCTAACCAGATGGAGGTTCTTCTTCCCGTCATGCAATTTCCGAGGGGAAAGAAAAATAGGAAAATGAGAAAAAGAGCAAATTAAAAAGGCTCTACTAAAGTAGGGGGGAAAAAATTAAAGCGCTTGTCTTTCCTATGCAAACCTCTCACTTATTCATGAGGGCGCAATTCTCTAAAGGGGGGAGGGCTCGACGATGCTCAAGTCATTAAAGTCTCTGAGCAAGTGAATATCAAATCTGGGTCTCATTCAGAGTTGTTTCTCCGCCAGTGGATAATGAGTCTTCTATAGAGCCGCCGCGCACTTCTGAACATTAAGCAAGCTGGCGTGCGCACACAGCAGCCGTGTAGACACACCAAGATACACGGATCCACGGAGCCAAATGAAAACCCTCATAAAAAAAGACGAGCGGTGGGCACCAGGGTGCCGTTTTTTTTCCGGAAAAACCGAGGCCCGGGGAGGAAAAAGCGCGGCCCACTCTGTTAATTATCATTGTCTGAAAAACCAACCCTCGCGAAGCATCTACGGTCGATCCGCGCGGCCATTATGTATTCCACCATGATCTTACTGACTCATGCGCTAATGCAAAATGCATGCCGCTCCAGATGCATTTTAAACACAATCGGTCCAACTCAGTGTAACTCTCCAAAAAAATGAGCTCTAACCAGATGTTCTGAGCCATTTGTTTCTGTACGTGCAGCGTGCCATTTCCCTCAAATAACACTTCAGGAGAGATTTAGAGGTTTATGCACAGATCTTCCGTGCAAAATAAAAAAGCAAAGTGGGCCCCTGCATACGGAATGAGAGCCCTGACTCGGTGGCATAACTCATACTCTACGTGCTCTGGGTTCAGATGGAGATGAGCGAGTGTGCTGTATTTGAAAAGCGAAAGAGCCGTGGGGCGTGCTGTTTCATGTAGTTACACACTGCAGGATAGAGGGAGCAAGAAAGGGAAGGTGTGCGTGCATCTGTTTGCCCGTGCGCCTTGGTGAAGGGATGTGACACGCATTCCTCCGGCTTTGTGGATACAATTACTCGATGCTGAATTGCTCTCGAATTATTCTGGCCCATGCGCCTGGGACATGGAATTTGTCTGACAGCAGGTCGCCTAAAGAACTGTTTTTTTCTGTGCTTCTAAATCATGACGCAACGTGCCAGCCTTCAGGGAGTACTCTTGGTCTCCCCCTCCTACGGTTTTCACCTTAATCTGCGTTATTTTCATGGAAACCATTAAACTCCCGGACTCACAGAATCAAATTTCCCATTTTAAAAAAATCGCCAAAAAATTGGGTTAATGCTTAACAGGCAGAGGGATTTAAGTCAAGCGGACTTCACACCAGACTCACAGCCTCTGTAGCAGAACCACAGGGAGAACAATTGCTGTTTGTCCTACTCCATACTGTTTCAGGGCTCGTCTCTCATAGAAAAGTGGTGAGACCGTCCTCTTGCCACGCTAGAATGGGGACACTGGAGGCACAGATGGCAACAGATGGAGAGTCAGAAGTGCCCCTCCAGATATGAGGACTTGGCAACGGGGAACTTTTTGTTGGGGATCCGGGTATCGAGGCTCCTTAACCTTTGAACCCTTCTGCGAGCGGAAATCTTTCTGCCTCTCTCTCTCTCTCTCTCTCTCTCTCTCTCTCTCTCTCTGTCGGTTCAGTGTGGAGGGGGCGGTCTTTAAAGAAGCGGTAAAGATGTCTGAGGGATGCAAATCTGTCCCTACCATCTGCCTCCTTCCATGCGCGCAAAAATAACTGTCACAAGGCCGGACAAGTGCACACAAGTGCACACATTTACAAACATTAGCGGCAGCTGATGATCAGGCATTCAAAGCGCACGGATGCAAAAGTTCACAAACTTTGGCGCGAGACAATGGACCCAGCATTTGCTTAAATGACAGGCTGTCAACGTGTTCTTTTTCAATGACGAAGGGCACTGTGCACATCATCAAAATAAAAACTCACGCTGTGCGTCAACTCCTAAATCAATTAGTCAAAGAAACGGTGAAAAAAACCATACAGGAGAACTAAAGGATGCTTTATTGCAAAGTTTTCGAATGTATTCTTTATGCTAAGGCTGCTCGTAAAAATCTGATTCGTCGACAATTCCTTGTTCGAGTACATATAAAATGACTGCATTACAGAACGAGAGGTAAGTCGGGAATTAATTAAGGCTTTTTGTACAATGTTTTGCTTTAATTCTGTTCCACAGGTTGTGTTGATGCCTTTGCTTGTTCCTGAAGGCATCATATCAGAATGCTTTTAAAAAGCAAACCTGGCCTTGAAAAATGTGTGAAAACATCTTTGAGCCGGTACCTGTGGATTTCAGCTTCATGATGACATGCTGCCACATTCTGCGCTTTAAAAGAAAGGCTGAGAAGGAGAAGCAGGTACAACGATCCCTCCTAGAACGGGCGATGTGATAACAAGTTTAAACTGTGCCTCGTTCCCTCCCTCCCTACATCTCCGTGCCTTCCACTCCATGTCTGGCTTTTTTTCATTCATTTCTCGTGCACAGATTAGGTTGGGAGAGCAACAGTTGCTATGGAGATGGAGTAATGTCACTCATGTAAAGCATTTCTGCGGATGGGTCGGATCTTTAGCAGAACATGGCAGGAAATGCAGCAGGGAGGTCTGACTTTTAAAAGCAACAAAAGGTGCTTTGAAATGGATGGGAAAAAAACAGTCCCATTACAAGTCCTTAATGTCGAGCGCATTTTAAATTGAATGAGAATAAAAAAACGTGAAGCAAATTATGATTTAGGGGTTGTAATTTGGGTTTGGTGGTTAGCCAAGTCTCCTCGTAGCACTCCCAGTCCCCCACATCCCTGAACTGCCTAAAGGTATAGAAAATGGAATCTATGACCCAATATGGAGAAAAATAAAAATCCTCAACCTACCAAAAGAACAAACCTGTAGCCTGAAAGAAGTTATCAGAGGACACATCCAGAGATGTAGCTCTCTAAATGAGAAATTATGAGATGGGCATCTTCTAAAGAATTGTTCAGAGATGCATTAAATTGCAAGAAAGGTTAGCTTCAATTCAACCTTGAAGTTAATTTATTTAAAGGAACAATAATAACATTGGGCTACTCCGGTGTTGGTACAAAAAGTCATGCAAAACTAAAAACCAATCAATGCCTGTTGATTAGCACAATGATGCAACAAAACTTTGTTTTAATCTGCACTTTTTGTGTTTAGGGTCCTGTCAAAAACCCCTTTCGGCCTCTAAAAGGTCGTAAAGAGGCATTCTGCACCATTACAGGAGTGAATTTGCACTCATTATATATTCCACAACAAAGACAATGGTCTAATCAAACCAGGTTTTGAGCAGTTTGTTAATATAAGAGTATATGTGAATGAAGCATCATCTTTTTTTAAGTTGCTATGAAGACAGGATGGGGTTAATGGGGTAATCTAAGCTGCGTAAACAATTCACAATTTGGTTCCTTGATGAATAAACAAATAAACGTATAACATGTTAGTTTGCTGCCTTTACAAATACTAATTATGCTCTATTAACCTTTCGGCTTCGTCCAAGTTCCTGCACCGATTCTAAGTTAACAAATGTCCTCAGACTTCAACATGTAGATGTATGTGTAGATTGAACATTAGAATTAAGACTACATTTCTGAAAAAGCAGAACCTGGGCTCAACACGTATGATCTCATCTTTTCTCTGTATTGTTCTGAGCTGACAAGTCAATTTACAAGGCATCTACACACCGCCGTCTTGTTAATATTTTAAGCGAAGAAAGGACTCTTGTGTAAAGCCGTCAACCAGAAATCATTATGAACGTCTTGTGTGGAGGTCGTTTACTGAGACATTTCAAGCTTTGGGTCTGACACTCAGGATGCCAGGCTCGGTTACGTCTTTCCACATCAGCCCCGTGGAAGCACTTGCTTGGCTTATCTCTATGTGCTTAGATTTGACATCTCTGGACCTAGCAGAGCTTTTTTTTTTTACATGTGAATGTCTCAGTGTGGTGACAAGTACAGAAAAGCCACAGTGTGTCATATATGTGGGCAACACTGTATGATTCCAACAGGTTTTATCCACAGAGATTCCGTGCACATCCCCTAGTAATGCCACTTCATTCACATACGACCTAATATGGCCTCGCAACTAAAGCCTAGTCTCTAAGACGAAAGGAATTGGCAAATGATTTGCTCTGTGCCCCCCAACCCCCTACAGTTATGGCTTCGATTCATCTGCTATGAAAACAAAAGCCCCTGCACACATATGGCGATACTTGAATGAATGAATTTTCTGCCGCGCTGAGGGGTCCAAAAAGACACCGCCTAAGATAGAAATTAGGCCGCGTCGAGCTGAAAAAGGAAAGTAGCATCTGAGCCCTCAGGTCCTCCAGAGCGGTTCCGGACCCCGGAATGCGCATTACAAAAATCAATGCGGCTTCTAACAAAAGCACAAAGGCTCACGGATTTAAAGTTCACAAACTCCTCTGGTATTGTTTTAATGAGTACAGTTTGACCCCTGAAACAAACTTACACTCAACCAAATCGTCTTCGGAAAGACTGCTCACTTCCTCAGAGATGAATGGACCTGGACTTTACCGTTGAAGGGAAACCTTTACCTCTTGCCGGCACATGTTTACTCGCTGACAGGAAGATACCGGGGATAGCGGCCGGATAATTGAAGTCATACCGCATTCATCTGCCGTCTCCAAACCAATATGAGAGTAAACCATCTTTCTAAATATGTCATCAGAATGATCCTTGAGAGTGTCCTTCACTAAACAACTAGCTCAAACCTGCATTAGCCAGGCCGCAAGACGGTCCATGCGTCGGCCAATTTCCATTTATATGGCCCTACATAATATCTTCATTGTTTGCGACGATGGTCTCTGGAGCACGTGATTAACATGCTAAAGTCTTAGCCGGTCGCCATTTCTGACGAGCCGGCTGGCGGCCCAGTTACTGCCCCACCCCCCTATCCCCCCCCACTCCACTTAAGTCAAATCGATGGGCCCTCTTCAAGCCGGGGCCATTTATCAGAGCAATCCAACAGAGCCAGTGAAACGGCCATGGAGGACCTGGCCCCCGGCGGCCTTGTTACAGCCAGCTCACGGAAGCATGATTTACTGAACTGGGTGGAGTGGATTTTTTTGATTTTTTCCACGGATGGAGAGATGAGTGGAAAAAGACGGGACGAGTAGAAGGATGTGGGGGGGCGGGGGGCTAACAAAAAAAGCTCCCACTTCTTGCTCGCCTTTGTCAGCTACCCGGAGAGCCCCAGCCTCTCCATGCCCTCTCCTTCCCCACTCCAAGCCGATTCAGTCCCGTTTCAATCTCCCAGCGAGCGCTCTGAGAATGTCCCGTCCCATTACATCCCCCGTGCTCTTCATCAAAGCGACAGGGTGTGAATTACCCCGTCCATGACACCTAAATCATGGCGCTAGCAAACCCCGGGGCTACGTGGAATAGCTGTTACTTCTTCTGGATCCATGAGATGAGACAGGGCGCCTCACAGCAGGTTGGACAGGAGTGAAGCTCCTTCTCTGTGTTTTCTCCTGTTATTTAGCTCTATCCAAACAGGGTTCAAGGTTCTGCACACTGCATTTAAATTACAGATCTCTACGTACGTGATGGAAAAATACGAAAAAGGCTCCGGTACAGATGCTTCCACAACAGAATTGGGTTAGGATTCTGACGTACCTTTGATCCTCCTGGACTCCTTTCGCTGGCTGGTTTTGACACCCGACTGGAGCTCGGCCTCTGCTGACATCCTCCACCGCTGGGTCCCTCGTCCCGCTCACAGCAGATCCACCATGGGGTTAGCAGCACACAGGCCTGTCCTCGCAGCTCTCGGCGTCCCTTCACCCCCCCTCCCACTTCCCGGTATCTCTCACAGCTGCTCTCTGCTGAAGAAAGCCTCTTTCGGTTCCATGGTGAGATGCCCGGTGCTCCTCGGAAACAGGCGGCCCAGCATTGATAGGGAAGCTTCCTTCACTGCTGGCCCATGGCGCTAGAGCCACCCTAAACAAAAACACGAAAAGGTGATTCAATTATACAAAACCGGGCGATTCCTCTGGAGAGGCGCCTCGGATAAGATTTGACATCTTCTGAAGTGTACCTGAGTCTCTTTGTGAAGGTCAAGTATCACATGGTCCGCTGTTGCTCTTTTCTGCGGCTTCACCTGCTGCTCAGCGTAATTCCCCCGCGAGGGAGACTTGCAACATCGATTGAATCAAATATTGTTCTTCAGAGTAGGTCAGGAGTGGATATTATTCTTTGGTGGAGCACTTCAGATGCGGTTTGACAGCCCATCACAGTCCGCCGCTCCGAGCACTGCAAGACAAGAAGACGGGAATGATGCACGTTAAGCCGGAGGCGGTTATAGACACGACTAAAAAAAAAAGGCAACGTGGGCCCCCTCGTTCACTCGCTGGTTCACTCGATTTAAAGAATTAAACAGCGATTTAGCAAATCGACAAAGATGTTGTTATCTTTTTCTGGATCGTTAACGAGAGCGCGCCCACCCTGGAAGGGGACCTTTGGTGAAGTGCCGGTAAACACAGGACGGCAAAGCGTGACCGCTCGTTCTGAGAGTTTGTTCCCAGACCCGTTCGCTCCAACAGCAGGAGAGGAGGAGAAGTTGCAGCGAGCGATGAATGACAGACTGTTTGAAAGCAAACTGTGATGGGAACCCTGGCACTGCTATCTGCAAACTGGAACCCCCCCACCATTCCCTCTTCCCTCCTCCTCCTCCCCCTCCTCACTGTGTTTCGATGCCCTTGAATCATTCGCTGCTAACGCGGGGGCCGTGCCAAACTGGCACGGTGGCTGGCGCTGTTTCTGTTGGCAGGGTGATCGGCCATTGTTGGAGAAAGAGGCCTTCGAACCGCACTGGCCTAAAAAAAAAGAGGAGCTGCCGCACAAGGGACACCGGGAATACGTTAACCCAGATGACACCGGATGACATTGCTAGTAAGCTACAACGCACGTGTAATCTTAAAGTGCGCTTTTAAATTCACGGCATGTCAGAAAATTTTCAAAGAAACCCAACGATGTGATGGACTAGCGAGCCGCCCAGGGTGTGCCTGCCACCTAACATCAACCGGGAAAGGCTCCAGCGACCCTACTAATCCACCAGGAATAAGCGGGCCGAGACAATGGACGGGTGGAGGGATTCCAAGAAACGGGCTTTTGGTTTTCGGTCTGCACCAGACATGGGGCGCACACTACTGAATAGCTTGGACTATCAGATCAGATCATCCACAGGAAGTTAGGACAGATGTTGTTAAAACCGAATTGAGAAAGGTGCTATACAATGTATACACAGTGCTATACGATGTGGATTTTTTCAACACCATATCTTTAGTTTGACGTGCCAGTGGTTCTTTCTCAGTCTAAAAAGATACCGGTATAATGATTACTAATCATCTTACGCTGGAAGTATTTTACAACAATACCTTCTATTACAATAACCTTTTTTTATTTTTTATCACTGACTTTAGATGTAAACACACCAACAGAAAAAAAAGACAAAAAGAAGAAGAAAAAAAAAGGAAAAAGAAACCCACAAATGTGATTATGACAAAGGAGATTGACTTGTATTGGTCTAAACCCAACTTGACCTTATGTGTGCGATTAGGACAAAAACATAAATCCTGGTTCTGGCTTTCACGCGTAAAAAAGTTGACTTCATTTGGCTGCTTGACTGCCAAACGTTGAAGAATAAAACGCTCATCTGCAGCCCAAATTTGAACCTCTGTTAAGAGATTTTACCCCCATTTGCTTTCCCAGTACTGGCGTTTCTCTAAAAACACAGCTTTAGATCTCCAAATCCACTCCAGGAAGACAGCATCTATGTAGGGCAGATGGAATTCAATTCCTGGTGCGTAAATGGTATTGAAGAGACAACAGAAATGCCTGAAGCTATTTGTAAGATGTGAAAACAGAAAGGGGGGGGGATAAAATTGTTGCGCTTCTGAGTCAACTGCCAGCGCTCAGTTGGTGTACCCCCTTTGAAAACGCGTACACATCTATTGTGTCAGCATAAACAGGGAAGCGACGGTGGGCGGGCAAAGGGGGTCTTAACGTCATTGTGGGATGGTCTCGCTGGATTAAAAAGGATGCATTGATACATCAAAAAAGCACTGGAATTTCTCATTTGAGCAGAGCTGAGTTACAGCGGAGAGAAAAACTTCTGTTTCTACATATGAAATATTTGTATCGATATTACCAGAAAGATACCCACCCAATGTATAAAAAATGCATGGATCTGTGTTTACAGATGTATTTTCAGTCACTGAAAACACTAAAAAGCAAATTCTCCATTTTTTTTATGCAATGCATTTTCTAAATATATTATCAAAATCTTTCTACATAAACCAGTGGTGTTTTCTAACCTCATGCGTAGATTTTGATGCCTAATTTAAAACAATTATGAGTTTTTAAATGGCTAAACACCATTTTACTGCAGTTCTATTCAACAGATTACAACTGAAAGCTTGGTTTTCACAAAAAGCCACAAAAAGAAATCACAATTTTTCCACTGACCAATTTGTAAAAATAAAAATAAAAGATAAATGAATAGGCTTCATTTTGTGTTTCGTCAGGGTGAAAATACGGTTTATATAGATGATAGACAGTGGACTTATTACTAGTTGTAAACAGACAAGAGACCCTTAAAGAGGAAGAAACAATAACTGGGGAAATGGAAAGAGTTCTGCCTCAGAAACTTCTTTCACCTTTGGGAACATCTGGGTTTTATATCATATCTGTGAAAAAGCTGGTTTGGTCTCCGTCATGTCAGACACAATTGTGCATGCTCAGGATCAGGAGGAATGAATATTTTGTCACTATGTCGTGTTTTTTTTCTGTGAGACTTGGTCATATAAAGATGTAAAGCACCAGAACCCTCTCCACGGGGCACCTCAGGCATGCTGGAGTCTCACTCGCATTCTTTCTGAACAGAACCAATGACGATGAAGAAGTGGGGACACTGACACAAAAAGAATACCTTCGAAAAATACCTTGCAGGAAGAACATTGTGCAAAAACTAACATCACAACATTTTTAAGCGGGTATGAAGGTTGGTTTTTTCTTATGTTTTCCATAATTTTACCCTAATTTGTTCTGATGAATCAGGAGATGGACCAGCTCGATCCCTTTCAGCCCTTTTTGTTCTCTAAACCTGCCCCTCGCTTGGGGCTTTTCCAATTTGCAAAACAAAAAAAACGTGTATAAAACGTGCTGGTCTGGACCCTGTGTTTCAACTCACGTGGGGCTAAAAGCCAGATAATGTCTTCTAAGTCCATCGGAAGAGGAGAACTGTACCCTGGAGTACAGAGAGGCCACTGGAGAGTCTGGGAGAGTGGTGGGAGGTATTTCCCATGTCACAAAGAGCCCAATCAGAATGTAATTTTCATTACCAACCAGAGATATGCCTTATTGTATCAAGAGGAACGAGTGATTTAATGTGATGTATGGCTTCTTCTCAAAACCAATGCTATCTAGGTCACCCAGACTCCCCAATCTGCTCTTTTAACAGCTCCCACTGTCTCTTAGGATTTGGGTCACACTTAACGAGCATCACTCATATTTTATATATTTTTTTTTCCCGGTAACTCTTCACTGTTCGGGGATGTCAAAAGCTCTCGACTAAAGCCGCCATTTATTTATTAATTTGATCGCCCGTTTTTAGCGCTACCTCTCCGAAGTGCAAAAGAAAACCTCCTTGAGCGAAGTCGGCTTCCATTTTTCTTTTTCCTTTTTTGTCCCTCATCAACCCACTTAACCCCCCTCCCCCCTTGCTGCCACACTTCCGCAAAAACTCCTGTGGAGTTGTGCGAGACGGCTGCTCATGTCGGAGTCCCTGCCCCGTAGAAAAGAGTTTGCAGAGCGACAACGGGGGCAAAAAACTGCGCACAAACTGCACAAAGAATGGATTGCCAGGTCACATCCATCAGTCACAATTAATCAACGTACCACTTCCACGGGAGCTCGTTCCAAATGCTAATTTAGTTGCGATTGAGTAAAAACTGCGATCTTCGTCTTTGATCATTATGTTGCGGGGAAACAAAAGCTAATAATCCAGCACAATTAGACTGAGCATTGCTTTCTGGCTTTCTCCGAGTAGGAAAAAAACAAAAAAAAAACGACTCATTAAGCGCCGTCGGTGGTTCAATCACGTCAGCCGTCCCGGTGATAATAATGGGCAATCACCGCGCACACACGTGTTTGGTTTTTTTACAAATCAGATCATTCTCCTGATTCGAGTTCCTCCTGAGACCGGTGTTTAATAGACTGGCGCACAATCAACCTCATATTGTGAAACACGCGGAACCTCGGCGCCTTCCTGCCGCTGATGACTTCCAAAAAGGTTGAAGAGCCATCTATCACTGGATACGGCCAATTACACCCCAAACCCACCAATCCCCCACCCCCTCCGTTCAGTACGGTCTTGGTGGAATGCCGCCTGAGTGAACGCGGAGGCCATCTTCCCTCGGACCGTCCCTCCTTCTTCTTCTTCTTCTTCTTTTTTTCTTCTTCTTCTTCTTCTTCCAGGCGGGCAGCCATGGCCCCGGGGGGGGCCGCTGGAGCCTGGGCTGGACAGGCTAGTCATCTTTGTCACAAAATGCCCTTCAGGTTTATGGAGCGGGACGCGCTTGTCGCAACCTGGCCAAACGCACCCCATCCCCCATAGCAAAGAGTGCTCACACCCACCGGCTTCTGAATCCACCCCGTCGTCAAATTCCGGATCCGAGCGTCTCGTTGGACCCCTACGTGGGCTTTTATCAGCCGTGTAATCGACAATAAGCCCGAGTCACTCATAAGCGACCTTACAAGCGTCTAATAGCCGTTAAATCTATGATGAGGTTAATTTGCTTTTGTTGGACTAATTAAATCCCCGAGTTGAGAGCAGCTGACTGGCGTTGCTGTAACACTGCAATCCATTAATGGAAGTGGCTACATCTTGTTTCTCGCATTTGAATTATTGAGAGCGCCAAGGCTAGAACCGATGACACTGATGAACATTTGTCAAAGTTGGACAAATTACAAGAAAATCTATTATGCAAAAGAGTTTTTTTTTTCCCCTTGAAAAAGACAAAAAATAAAGTGTGAACAAAACATGAATCATAAATGAAAGGGAGGGAAATGAGGGAGGTTTCTAAACGTTACCGCTAAGCATTCCCTTTGATTTCTGCAGGGATGGTAACCCTGAAAATGTGCAGCCACGGAGGAGAAGAACTTCTTCTCCTTCCCTCTGCCCGCCTGGCCTTCCAGGGGGAACTGATGGCTTCTGCGCTCAGGTTGTTCAGCCACGGCCCATTAGTCCACCTCA